CAAAGTCACGTGAATCACATGACGTGGCCCGAATTATGAAATTTAATTTCTTAATGCCGGCTAAATCCAAAATTTTCCAAAATTTTTGCGTTATCCAAAAAAAAATTTACTTATAATCTAAAAAAAAAAATCAGCGTCCCTGCATGGTGTCTTGGAGGCATCATGTGAGCTCGTTAGTAAATGAAACGTATCAAGGATACCCTGTTGTATCTCTTAACAAAGGCACTGTCATAAAATTAAATTCTTTGGGTATTTATGATCATAATTTTCGTAACAAGAGAAGATGTGGAATTGATCAAAATTCTAGTTATCCAAGTTCATATGGATTTTTGGTCAATAGCGATTTAGGCTCGTGAGTATTTTGTTATTAGTCGATAGCACAATGCAAATAGGTTCGTATTGATCATAAAGTGACAAATTTCTAGCGATCTATGTTCATATGAATTTTAATCAATAACTCTAGCAATTTAGGTTCGTAAGAATTTATATAATCAAAAACTTTCAACTCTATATCATTCGAAATGATTTACAAATGGAAGAAGTGAAATTTGCAACCGTGTTATTGAAGAGAGAATTGTTCAAAACCCCGGCCTATCATCTGATTCTGGAAACTGGTACCATTATTCTATTTTTTGCTTTATTTTTTATATATAAATTTATCCGGTGTCACCTGATGGAGACCTTAATTTCCCGGAATTACCCAATAGAGCTGAAAGGAACAAACAAACAAAAAATTTGATTCCATGTTATGTAAACGTAAAATGGTAAATTAACTTTGCACAGCCTTATATATGAACATGAGTTTATCATTTTTACGGTAGATTGTTAAAAAAAAATCCGAATTTCCGACCGGAATATTGGAACAACAGATTATGCAAATACTGAAAAATCAACTAGTAAAAAAAAAAAGAAAAACGGGACGTTAAGCTTCACGAATTCAGCAATGTAATATACGTGTTTTTACTAACTGTTATTAAAGAGTATATAGTATTTTCACTCCTAATAGACCTACCTCGATGCAACTTGACTTTCGTGACGAGACGTTCGTTGTTATTTTGTTTAAAAAAGTAATGGTGCCGATAAATTTACTTATTACAGTACGTACGCACGCCTACTTGGCGTCCCACGGTGAATACGTAACACCTGGGGAATGAAAAAAAGGTTAATTAATTATTTTGATTGGCTAGTTAGGGAATTGACTCGACAAAAAAATCGTTGATCGATGATTGATAGAAGAAAAAAGTTTTTTGGATCGATCAAAATTCAATTATGTATATTTAATCGTGTATGATCGATCAAGCATGTAATTTATTTGCTTGAGCATACATAATCATTGGGTCAACCATTAATCATTATACAGTATTTTGTAAATGATATCCTGTAAAATAAAAGATTTTTTTAGAGATTTTCTTAATCGATCAAATTTTAAACATTTAATCGATTAACATAATCGATCATTGATTGACTCACTTTTGATCGAGCTTATAATATCGTGCTCGGTCAGGCAATACACTATGGTTAGTATTTCTTAATACTAGCCCTGTTCCGATGTACCTCACCTGAAATTTTGGGATTGTCTGGTAAAAAATCTATATTATAGCAATATGACAATAAATTTATTGAAAATTTTAATGATAATAACAAAGTGATCGTCACAGAAAAGTTACATCTACAAGTAATGATCAAAAATTATACTTCGTAAATATAATCACTAACACACTGCATTTTATATAAATATATAAATATTGATTTTAGTGCTCTGAGTATATTAAATGATATGACCGAAGAAAAATTTCATCGTTTCAAACATGACATTTTTTAAAAAATCACAATATTCATCCACACAAGTTTGTTAGTTCCATTTGGCGAAGTGGTTAAAGTGAAGGAATAAATTATTGTTAAAATTTTTTGCGTCATAAAATTCTTAGAAAAATGATTCAGAAGTTCAATAGTTTCTTGCCAGCTAAAATATTATGAGATGACAAAGATATTTGAATGGAATCCACGTTCAAAGAAGACAAATGCGGTAGGCCTATGTAAAAATATTATAAATTAATAGATGAGTAAATGAATATTGTAGCTATTTTATTCCTATGTTTCCTTTATCAATAATACACGTATGTCAAATGTCAAAACATTTAATTTCTTATTTATAAATGTAGAGTAATCAATGATGCATTCTTGATACGCGTTTTATTTAAACTAAGGTAAGTACGCGTAGCCTAATTAAAAATTTTGTCTGGGTATTATTAATAATGACATTTTTACATACAGTAGTTTTAAACATTCGTAAGATGAATACAATACCGTCTAGATAAACACCGGTATCCGTAATTCTGCAATTAAGGTTCGATCTAGATATAACTCTACGAAATTCTCCAAACATATACTATAAATTTGATAACAATAATCTAAATTTCATAACACTATATACCTTTAGGGCTAATAACAGATTTGTACCAGACAAGGATAAGACAATAGCTCGAAATATAATAGATAAAAAAATGAAAATTCATCGTTTAAAATTAACCTCTCAACTTTGCAAGATCATAACTTTCGAATCAGATAAGTCAAGTTAATCTTTACCTGTGGCAAATCCTATAAAGGATATATGATAAGATTGAGGCCACACTTTAAGAAAAAAGTAACACTTAAAATCAACTAAAATTTACCAGAAAAGTCTTCTAATATGTCGTTCATTTCTCCTCTCCATTTGGGAAATTAAGAGATATAAACTTTAAAAATGCAAAGTTGATTATTTAAAAGTTTAAATATAATTACAGTATTACTAAATAAAAATTACTTTTTATTTTTACCTTTGTTTGGCCATCTATTTCAATCCAGATTGATAGTTTCTATTAATATAAGCACAACCAAGTTTTAAACTGGCATATAATTTTCATTTCAGGGTAGAGTACGTATCTCATAGTTTGTATAGTTTTCGAAAACGCGTAATTAACCAATAAGAATGCACGATTTTGCCCATCGATGGGAACAATCGTGTATTCTTATTGGTTAATTACGCGTTTTCGAAAACTATACAAACTATGAGATACCCTACCCTTCACAAGCCGCGTCCTGGACAAAATTACCATTTTTAAATTTTAAAACTAGAAGGTTATACCAGGTACAAGTAGAGGTGTTAGTTGTACACTGTCAAATTTGAGAAGTCGAAGATTTTGTAATGCTGTTATAAATAGAAAAGATGATATTATTTGACAAATAAAATGTAAATTTTGGTGTCATACATCATTTTACCCAGTCGGACTCGCTTCGCTATGATAATATCGTAAATTCTTAAAGCTTTCATATTATAACCTACAGTATATACTAATATTGCTTACCAAAAATTATTAATTTTTAAACTTTAATGTCATGTTTTAAAAATTTTATAGTGAAAAAAAATACTTTGAATTCAATAAATTCACCAACGAAGAATATATATATTTACTATATTTTAAACTACAGTTGGGTTAGTTTATATTTAGTTAAAACTTTGGCAGGTTTTGCAGTATTTACCTTTTTTTTTTTTTTTTTTTTTTTTTTTTTTTAGCGAGGCAAAAATATTATATTGGTTATTGATCCACAAAAAAATCAGTACATCGTTATTGACTCATTAAAAAAAGCCTGACTCGTCGTTATTGAAATTTGTATGACGTTTTTGATAATTCATCCATGATTTTTAATACTTTCACTCATTGAACCTTCTTTAACCGAAATAAAGCTCTGTATTTAGGAAGTTGAAGACACCAGACGAGTTGAAAGAATCAAAGAAATTCCATAGTTAACGCTACCAATGCAGAAGTATCGTTGTTAAATCTATTACTACCATCAGTTCAGAAACGAAGAAATGCAGCAATTTATTATAAATAATTTTGAATAAATTAAATATAAATGAGTTAAATTAGAGTAAAGAAATCTTCAGTTCGTCATTTTCATCTAAAGCTATTGCATGAAGTGCATTTGAAAATTTTTTTCTGAAAAGGAAACTGGTTAAAAATCAAGAGTTTATAAAAGCTTGTTTCGAAAAAGATATATACTTAGATAATAATAAAGAGTCGAATACGAAAAGTTGTTTACATTGCTCAATAGAAAAAAAACAATAAGACGAAACGAACGACTAACTTGTAAAATAAAAAGTTATTAAGAAATTTGAGATTTATAAATAAGGTTTAATCTCTTTGAAGCAGTGTTCGAAATTAGTGTTCTCAGAGTTCTCATGAGAACACTATTATAAATTTGTGCACAGTATAAATTTTTTA